AATTGCATGTCTCTCATGAAACAATACGTAAACATCTAAGGAATATGGGAAAACTCCATAAAGAAGGTGTTTGGGGGCCTCACAAAATCTCCAATGTTCATTGTTTCCAACGTTTGAACGTTCCTTCATCTCTTCAGGCATGTAATGAGCATGAACTATTTTTGGACAGAACTGTCACCGGTGATGAAAAATGGATTCTCTATGCAAATATTAAATGCTAAAAAGAATGGCTCAGTCTTAGACAAAAACCACTTCCGACCCCAAAACCTGGACTCCATCTGCGGAAAGTGATGCTTTGCATTTGGTAGGACATCAAAGGAGTAATTCATTTCGAACTCCTCAATCCACAGTGAACTGTCAATACAGAGATCTATAGTTGACAACTGGAATGTTTAAATCAAGGCCTTCACTCGTCAATCAGAAAGCTGTTCTTCTTTTCCATGACAATGCACATGCGGCACGTTTGATGCAACACAAGATTAAGGAGTTGGGTTGGGAAGTTCTCTTCCAGATATGGCACCATGAGATGACCATCTTTTTCATTTGCTGCAACACCATCGTAATAGGAAAACATATACAAATGTGGAAGGTGTTAAAGAGGACATTGAAATGTTTTTTTACTTCAGAGACTGTTTCATTTAATAAATGTTTTGTTTTGATATACAAGTTGTTTGGGTTTTTTTCATCTAAAAAAAATTGACATTAATTTCTTGATGACCTAACATTTACCTTCAAAGTGTACATTAATGGTATTCAATCAATTAAACAATATAAAAAGATTGTAAAAAAACCTTAGAATTTAACATGAACAACTACAAAATTGTATCTGGTGGCCAATATCTGCAAATCTCTATAAATCTCAGAGAGAGAAATAATTAAGGAGGCAATAACCTAATTGAGGAGTTCCAAAATATTTTAGTTTGAAACCCCCAAATACCTTAGGCAGTCTTTGTGAGGGCCCTTTTCTAATGATTTCATGTAAATTCTAAATAATAGCCACTTTGAGGTACATTACTTTCATTGTATTTTGCTCTTTAGAAAAACATTTCAAGCATAAACAAAAATTGTGTATTTACTGCAATAAATAAAATTCTCATTGGAAATATTGCTTTGTCTGATGTCAGATAAATTGTAAAGAGAATATTTCTATCTGTGCTAAAGCCCCCTCAGACTGTTTCGTGGAATTCAGTTTATGAATCACTACACTGTATGATTTAGAGATAGAAGAAAAAGAAAACTGAATAAAGTCAAGTGTGGAGTGAAAAGTGTGAAAAATAAATGTATAAATATTATGTTAAAAATTCTAAAAACTAAAGTTGCTACATTGGCTTAACACCTAGAAATGTCAGAAATTTCTTAATTTTATTGTATATGAACTGATAAACATAAGACACATATCATCTGTCTCAGATTTGACAGAGCAAGTTAGAAAAGGCAGTATTATCCCATATATGTTAAAAAAAAAACTGGAGAAAAGTTAAGATGCTGAAATTTGATTTTTTTTCTCCTAAAAATTGTCTAATTCTGCAAATATGAATTTAATAATTTTCTTAAAAACTAAAAGGACAGAATTTTGTGTGACATTCTATCTGTTATATTAATTCATTTTAGCTATATAATATTATTAAGAGCAGGCTGTAACGTATATTTCTTTTCTTGCTTCACTATTTTAAGATTTCACCTGAAAAATTCATGTTAACTTTAAGTAAATAACTTTTTTTTGCTTGTCTTCAAAAATGAAAGTTTTTGTTTTTACCTTATTATTGACATTAACTCTCTCTACACGGGCTCAGTCAAATTCACCAACCATGTGACCACATTGTACTCGTTTAAACTTGTTATAATTTTGATATTTTAAACTTTTAATATAGTATGAGCATCTTCACACATCCGATTTTTTAGTGAAATAATTTGTCCGTGAATATATCAAGTCTTTTTTTACTAGTACAAGTGCAAAGTGTTTTTCATTTTAAGATTAAAAATACTTTTCTTCATCTCAAAAATCTCAAATTTCATTTGCATAATCTCTAAAACTTCCTAAATACATTTCAAACATTTGTTTTCAGTAAAACTTTACATCTTATGTGTTATTTTCTCTACCCTAACTCTATACCAGGTTGGTTAATTTGACTAATCTCATAACCACCAAAAAAAATTGAAATAAATCTAAATTACCCTTTTTTCTTTCTGTAATAACTTCAAATTAAAACATGAGACTATATTTGTTTATCCTTTATCTTTAAACTCTTAACAGTATACATCTGTTTATTTAAATTTTATTGTTTTATTACCCTTTGAATCCATGTCTAACTACTATTTATGCCATTATGAATTGTAAATCACTTTGAGAACATGGGGCTCACGTCATTCCATCGAATTACATTACCCACAAGCTACTCCAAGCTGCTCATGTGTGTGCCTCATGAAATTGTTCTTTATGTTATTATCTAGCCTTAAATAACCTAAAGATATTCTTATTTTTACATTTTAGTTACTTTTATAATAATGAATAAAGAATAAACATGAAAAACAAGAAATATAGTACTTACCTGAACTTTTTATTTTTTCCTGTCTACTGTTGATAACACTTAACCCTACGTTTTTATATTAACGATAATAGTGCACTAAATAATTTTTATTTAATCAAATAATGCACCAAAGAACATAGAATAATAACATGCAAAAATCAGACAATATTCCATAACTATCACAATTTTTCTGGCTCTAACTATGCAACAACAGCTGATACAAATTGATCCAAGCTAGTCAGTAGCTTTCCCATGAGAACAAAGCTTGGACTAAACGAGGAATTGACAATTTTCTATTCAGAACACAACGTAATATAATATGTCATTTGATAGGTGAAAACCTTGATTTTCTATTGGTTATAAATAATATATTATTAAGTGCAAGAGAGAACTGTTAACAAATCCTGAGGATGTAACAAGTGGGTGTGGAAAGAGGGGTCTGATTTTCTGTTTGATAGTTCTGTAACCAAACAAGATTGAAGGCTATAAAAATCATGCTTTGTCTCAGCAATGACAATTTTATAGTGAGTAATTTACATTAAATTTCGTATTTATTGGAGAGGTGGTGAATAAATTAGAGAAGAGGGGATGGCTAGAGAAAAATTGTCACATTTCTCACACTAGAGTAAATTCAGGATTTTTTAATATTGCCTTATAAAATTAAGAACCTAAAACTTATAAACTATTAAAATAAGAGTTTATGTTATACTAATTGATATAACATAAACAAAAAGTAGTTTGGTTAAATTTTGAATGTAAGTCACTAAAAAACTCGTAACATGTGCAGTAAAGGATGCCTTTGGTGAGAGAGTTAGTAAATTTTTGAAAGCAGCTGGTTTAAAAAATTTAATGTAACCTTTTGGTCATGATATGACAAACATTCTAATTTCTTATTATGATGTTATCTGTTTTTCTAAATACTAAATGCTTTTATTTATTATTAATGTTAATACCAAAAGATGTGGAGAAGAAAAGAGTTAAACAGGTGTTGGATTCTCAGTGTCAGAAAAATAGGTTTTCACTTGGTTATTAAAGTAGACAAGCTTTCTTAGATGTGAATTTATGTGTTGTACACAAGATTGTAATTGTTTCTAAGGTATATATATATGATGAGTTTTAAATTTTTGGAAATAAACTAATAATCAATTATTTTAGAACATGCTATGAATATAAATGCTTTATCTGTATAGAGAGGCACATGAGGGTTGTGTTCTTAGTGAGGCTGAAAAGAACTTGAGTGAAGAGATAAACATGTGGAATAACATTTTATTTTTGTCAGAAGAACATTTGGTACTTTTCCTGCTTCATTGTTTAATGCAAAATCTGAAGTATAAACTTATTTTGGCATTATTTACTTTTCTAATTCTTACTCGCAGTCCAACGGTAGCCACTACCTTGAAAAACCTGGGAGCACTGTACAGACGGCAAGGAAAATATGAAGCAGCTGAGACGCTTGAAGATTGTGCATTACGAGCAAGAAAGGAGGTCATTCTTCTTTTATAAACTTTTATTATTGCTTTTAAATTACTGGAATTGTAAGAATTTAGAGTAAAGGAAACACACATATTAAAATGATCAAGGGGAAAAATGTATATATAGGTAATGCAGTATTTATTAGAAAATTTAATTACCTCAGACATTTATTGCACAACCGCAGGAAGTGCAAAGCAATATCATCAGCCTGAGTATTTTTTCTACACTGGCCTATTTTTGCATTAAATCTTTGGACTTTATAGTCTGTTGAAGAGTGTTGGTTTGTTTTACAAGTTTGGGCTTGCCTTCCCCAGCAACAGAATGGGCTTTTGTGTCTTGTATGATAGCAGGATGATTGTTTCTTTTATTCAGTGAACTTTTGAAGCAAACCTTTAAGGATTTGGTTCCTCTGTAGGATGTTGATTACATCCTTATTGATGAAAGAATGAAACCTGGGTTTTGATATCCAATTTAGGAAGGAGATTCAATTCATTTCTAAATTCTCTGTTCTCAACAGCCACACCATTTGGCTGTATTCAGATGTGAATGTTTTCAACATCTTTTCAGAATATGTTATGAATAATTTTGCCCATCATCAAGAACCAGCGTGATGTATCTGTTAGTGGATACAGTTATAATTGTTTTGATAAGTGGTAGTGGTCACTACTTATGCATGTTCTAACTTCCCCTCCAGAAAACATACTTTTCTTATTTATATATACATAGATTTGTGTAAAAACTAAGATGGCAATATCATTGTTCCCTTCTGCCAAAAGGTTCCATGCAAGAGAATGAGTGTGGTTGGATATCAATTCTTGGTGACTGGTATTTCCAAATCCACGTTACAGAAGAATAAAATTGTACAAGGCAGGATAAACTTAATGTATTGTTGTCTTTATAGTTAAACATTATTTTTCCAACCTAGCATTGCAAAGAAGATTCTGTTGGATAACCTGATATAGAGATTAGTGAGGGCTAATCAGATTCTCACATACCTTGCATTGGTATTTTTCAAAGATGAAATACTGGAAGATGAGGATTAGTACATCCAGTCAGATTAAAAAAGCTTTTGTTGGATAACCCAGTATGGAGTTTAGTGAGCACTAAAAAAATTTGCAAGGATCTCTTATGGGTATTGTTCAAGGATGAAATACTGGAACCTGAAGTTTGATCAGACCAATCAGGTTAAAGTATTCACAATTAGTTTGTTTCTGAAATCTCTAAAGGCTTATTCCATCAGATTTTTATGCTGCTTTACATGTGTTCTGCAAAAGATCAATCATATCACTTTTGTTTGAGTTAGTATGGTCTTTCATCTTTGCACCTATCACCTGGCATGAGCAGGCACAAGTGGTAGTGGTGAATTTTGCAGCATAACAAATACTTAGGTTTGTATTTCTGATGTTATAACAGTTATCCGAGCACACTAAAAATTTAATGTGACTGTTGCTCAATAATACAATTATTCAGTATTTATCACTTAGGTCGGTAGTTTTCGAACTTTCAGGCTTGTGTACCACTTTTTGTTTAAACCTCCCTTTTTTTAAGTGCAAATTCAAAGCTAGTTTTAAAAAAATAAAAAACTAGAAACCAAAATTAATATTTATAACATTTACCCATCAATGGAAAGGATGTTTTTTTTCTGGCACAACTGAGGAGCAAGGGGTGCAATTTTTGTCAGTTTGAAAGAAAAAAAATACTGGCAAGTCTAGAAGTGAGGATAGTAGTGTATATATGTATTTGGAAAGCTCAAATTAGGTTTATTAAAATATTAATATTTTTGCATACCGCTGACATTAGCTCCAAGTACCACCAGCGGTATGCCTACCACAGTTTGGGAATCACTGACTTAGGTATTGTACAATCTAGTTTGCTTGAGGATGCACTAGGGGTAAAATGAGGGAAGAGAAACATGTCTTTGTTCATTTTTATCAGTTTCACCATCTTCTGAAGGGAAATTGTTGGGTGCATGATGTTTGAAATACTAATACTTTTGAAGACATTTGGTACAGGTGTTTTCTTATCTTTTTAGCCTTGTTACATGGTCCTAATAAGTCTTTAGAACCACACTTCATAGGACATAAATGCATATGTATTCCTTTGACATGACAGAATAACATCTTGTTAATATTACTTAATATATTAACAACCTAATATTTATATGGGCGATTTTCATGGTTTATATTACTAAAATAATTTACTAATTTGTCAAAATTGTGATATCAGTGAAAATGACCCAAGGCTTGCTTGTAAATTTCCAGCACTTGGTGAAGAGAAAAAATATAGATCACACTAGATGTACTTCTGCAGGGTACTGTTCTATTTCAAGAGTAAATAAAACCAAAATTAAGAGTAACAAATATTTCTATTTCTTCCTTTTGATGATCAAATGTCATGCTGTGTTATAGCCTAAGAATGCATAATTTTTCTCGTGATTCATGGTATGCGCACATTTTACTGGTGAAATGACAGTACAAACTGCAATGTTAAGCGTCTCTTATGCGATGTCATTGTAGTGTCTAATGACTGACTGACAGACAACACACTACTGTATAGTAGTGTGAGTGATTAAAACACGTGACCCCTTCAAGATTTTAAATTTTTCTATCCTTTTAAAGATGGACTTGGCATTGAAAGTACTTTATTTTTAAAACTATTAAACCTGGAAAAAAAAAAGACAGTAATTCTACTTGATCAAAGTAAACACTTTATCATTTTTTTTTCTATTGTTAAAAACCAATTGAGTGAAAAATCTTCTGATAATGTCAGCAAACAGGCAACAATTTTGTAGTAATTTGTAATGTTAGTATTACTTTCATGCTTTAGTATTATAAACTGATGTGTTTTATTACATGAGTTCTTATGTTTTAAGTTATTGTGCCTTCGAATTTCTGTTTTACGTAATAGCTTTTACTTAACAATAAATAAACATAGTCTGTGCCCATAAGTGCACCTATTTATATACTCATAATTTGAATATAATTTTAAGTTTATGCTGTGTGCCCCTATTTCTGTTTCAAGGAGGTAACTTTCTGATCTATATAATATTTTTGTTAGAAATGAGCACGAGTACACGAGTCTTTATTCGTGGCTTCTACTTGATTGTAGTTCTATTTTGAGTGTTTTTATCATAATTAAAGAAATAAAACAGATTTTCTATTATACAGGCTTTTAATTCATTAAAACAAGGAAAGGCAACCCAGTATCTCAGTACAGAGTTCACTGCTGTCCCAAAGGAAAAGAGACGCTCTTCTTCAAAAGAAAGTATGAGGCACGGATCTCGTGAGTCTCTCGATAGTTTGGCCTCCGAAAAGATGAGTGATGTTAGTGAAGATGTGAGTAAAAAAATGTGACTTTGAAACCTTTGTGGTTATGAGAATGTTTTGAACAAAAATTATAGTATTAGAAGATTTCATAAATTTACATAGTGTAGCTTAAGTAATAGCATAATTTTTTGTCTCTAATTGTCAAACTAACTTTGTAGTTGGTGGCTTAGTACAGTATTTTTTGATGGTGAAAAAAATACAAACTGTTTAATTGAACTCAATAACCTGTTTCAAGCATTCAAGTGTGACTTTGTTTGATAGACTCATTTCAAACTTTGATGTGTTTGTTAGTTGTACTGCACTTTATAAATATTGGGCTGCAAGATTCAAGACACTAACATACTTTTGTTTGTATATATGTGTATGTTTGTGTGAGTACATAAATATATATAATATATAAGGTAAAAAGTAGAATTCATTAAATTGGATTGAAAATTATGTGACAAACATAAATACATCATTATCAACATACTTGTAAACATACTGAAGTGTGTGATATCAGAAACATGAAACTTTCACAGGATGTACAAAATGCAATTCAACAGAATTTTTTTTTGTAAAGGGTACCGTTTCAAAGCTTCTGTGCTAACAACATAAACACACATTACATTGACACAGAAGAGTGGAAAGAAGAAAATGTTTGTGTGATTCAAGATGTGTTGATAATTAAAGCTTTGATTTAATTTACCATATATTAATAGTGCCATTGAATTTTATTTTGCTCAACCCATGAAAATCTCATTTTTGTAATACTACACATTTCATTTAGATGTGTAGATACACATGTGTATGTACAGAAACATGCATATGTATGTAATTTAAATTTTTTATCTTTATTGTAATTTCATTTGTGGTTCTCTCTTCTTGTTTCACATCTGTTGTTTCATCAAAGTAGATATTTACTGGTTGCATTGAAAATTTATAACAAAATTTTTACCTCCTGTGAAATATTCATATTTACTCTTATACTTTCAGAATTTTCTGCATTGCAAATATCAGATATTTCAGATCAGTTTTTTAATTACTTTAGTATATTTAGTATGAGAAATTATTTAATCTTGTGTTAATCACCTAATTTTCAAAAATATGCAAAAATCAAATCAGTAATTTGCATACAGTCATTTTATGACTGTTATTTCTCTTTGCAGCATTAACATTATCTTATTCCTCTTGTTTGGCATACCTTTCTATTTAATTTACTTTGTGATGGTTTTTTCCTGTATCACTCATATCCCAATATTATAGTTTTATACTAATTTATTGTATGGTTTTCTTTTCTGGCATGATGGACTACTGCAGATAAATTGATATCGTAGAGTCTTATAAGTAATGAATTAAGAATGAGAGTTGGGGGGATCAAAAATTATTGTTAGATTGCTTGAGACTGTCTGTGAAAAAAACTTGATGGAAGCTACTTGTTATTAACTTTTAAACTAGCTATGTAAAAAAATATACTTCCTTGCATGTTGTCTAGATGATTAAGATATTTCATGATACACAGTTATATATATAATGTATAAATGAACCAAAAACAATAGATGGTTAGTCTAAAAAACCTTGATAGCAAGACTTTGGAAAGTTATGAAAATAGTTCATAAGTATGTTATACTGTTATCTGTATAATGTATAAATGAATGAAAAAAAAATGATTTGGTTACTCTAAAAACCTTAAGGTTATGGAAGGTTATAAAATAGTTTGTTATTACACTATACACAGTTATTTATAAAACATATTAATATACCAAATAAAGAGAAGAATTATTAGGTGGTGGTTCTAAAAACCTTGATATCAAAATTATGGAAGATTATAAAATGTTACATAGTTGTCTATATAATGTATTAATGAACCAGAAAAATTAATAATGGTTAGTCTAAAACCCTTGATAGCAAGATTGTTGAAAGTTATAAAATGGCTTGTCATTTTACATTACACAGTTATCTATATAATGTATTAATAAATCAATATGATAAAAAATATTTGGTGATAGTTCTAAAAACCTTGATAAAAATATTATGGAAGATTATAAGATAGTTTGTGAATTGCCTTTTTCATGTGGTCAACCAAATTGATAGTAACCATTGAGTTTTATGTTTGTCAGCCAGAAAAAAAACCACTAAAGATTTTTTTCTAGCCTGTAATAAACAATGTTTAAATCAGAAATTGAAAATTTTGTAACTAATACTTAAGATTTTTTAATGAAGTGAATTTTTTAAAGTTTTATGTTAACATGAGTATCATGTGAAGTATAATTCATATTTACTGACATTTTTTAGTGTAACTGTATAAGAGGTTTTAATAATTTCTTTGTATTTTTCGTAAGACTATGAATGTTTACTTGTGGAAGTATATTAATGTGCTTTGCTGCTATAGTAAATTTCTGTGTAGTTTTCTGCTTTTCCTTCATAGTGATTAACTTTTAAACCTTACACTACAACTATTTATGATTAATGTGTAGTTTGCCATAATTTATTATTTGTTCCTTGAAACTTAAAGTAATAATCAGGTCTTGGTAAGTTGTATTTAAACTTTATAGCTCAGAACTCCAGTAGTGAAGTAGCATTTATAGTTAACATAATTCTTAAATGTCGGTATTACTAATGTATATGCATGTTTTCTGCTGGGTTAAGCCAAGCACTGAATTCCTGTAGCATACTTAATTGTTTAATGTCACCAGTAGAAATATGTATTTACAACTACTGTACTTCTTGTTTCTCTTGTCCATTCAAAGTTAAAAAGCTAGAAGACTTGTAAATTACACATATAATACTGCATACATAAATCTATGAAAAGTAAAGTTTGTATTTTTTTTATGTCACATGTGGAAATCTTTGGTAAACTGTTATAGTTCAACCACCAGTAAGTGACTATACTGCATGCATTCAACAATAAAGCATTTATCAGGAAAGAAAAGTATTCAATTTCCTTTTATGATGAAAATACAGTAGTGAGTCAGTTATTCAAACTAATTGAAAGTTGTACTGGTTTACATAATCAGTTTATATGATAATTGAATAGGCATAGTAACAATTACTATCTTTTTAATAGCTCGTAGATTAAACTTATCTTACAAAAACACATAAGTACTCACTGATGATATATTGCTTGTAACCTATTCTTTAACATTAAGAATACAAAAATACAAAGCTTTGTAAATTATTAAATTAATGCAATTCAGTAAAACATTTAACACCCACAGTTAATGGAAAGATATCAAAGATTAAAATTCAGTAAAACATTTAACACCCACAGTTAATGGAAAGATATCAAAGATTAAAATTCAGTAAAACATTTAACACCCACAGTTAATGGAAAGATATCAAAGATTAAAATTCAGTAAAACATTTAACACATTACAGTTAATGGAAAGATATCAAAGATTAAAATTCAGTACAACTTTAACACAGTACAGAACTTTAGGAATCATGAAGCTTTGAAAGTTAATTAAAAACAAAGTAGCCTACATGTTCATTCCCTTCTGAATCTAGTACATCTCTGCAGCTGGTACAAAAACATCAAAACATGAAAAAATAGCAGCATCCATCCATATATTTATTGGACCAGATAAGTGACAGACAGGACACTTTGGTTCATGTTTTTGAAACATCATGTGTTCTTTGCTTTTTCCACAACAGCATATAGCAGTTTGTATGAGCCAATGGAATTAGAGCAAACAAGCAGCTTCAGTCTTTCATTGCTCACCTTGTAACCTGATGTGATTTTCTCTTGCTGAGAGGCATGGGTCTTAGATAGCAGTGTTTCCCATTAATACCCCATTTCTGCACAAATGTAAGTTCATTTTCTACTGCGATCCTCTCACTGCACAAGTACAGCAAAGTCAGCTTTAAACGTATCGACAAAATTGTTAATTGTAGACATTTTCTCACCTTTAACACCCAATTGGCTAATGCAGTGTTGGTGGTGAAAGTTTTAAAGCCAAATAAAACTGGCTTGAAAAGACTAATCATTGAACCTGACAGTGGGACACTCTTGAGAACTTTTTGTACAAACAATAAGTGAACTGCATTGTCCTGTTCATCATTCAGGCAGATTACATAGTCATTTGCTTCAGGGTTCTATCGCCTCTAAAAAAACCTGCTGTTTGAATGCTTCTGTTTTGTCACTGTTTCATTTTAAATCACTCACTGTTCCTTTTCCAAGCCCAAACTCAAGAGTCAACTTAGAGACAGATTCTTTATTTTTTAATCTTTTTTTCTACCTTGTCAAAGACCAACCAGTTCTTATTTTTTTAGTTACCGTATAGGTTACATTTCTAACCCTCTTAACCCGGTAAAGTAAAATTGTGCATTTCATGACATTCTACACGGTTAATTTCAAAATATAATTAAACTTCTTTATTATCAATTTATATCAATAAGCTAGATTTTTATATTCTGTAAGTTTTTATTTTCAAAAAGAAATATTTAAATAAATTCTCCATCTTTACTTGTCTGTGCCATTTGACTCTTGTGTGCTTCAAGTTGCCTGTTTTTGTTTATTTATTACCCCTATATGATGTCCTGAGTTTAGTATGAATTACACATTTATAGAGGGTTAATACAACATGTTATTCAGCATATGATTACATATGCATTCAGTTGAACAGTGATCTTATAATTGACACTACTGTATTGCATTGACATAACAGAAATGGTAGTGTAAGAAAATTGTTTTTGTCCCTTTAAAATGAAAAGGTAGGAATGATTAAAATATTTTCAGGGATTTATGTCAGAGATAAACAAAATTTTAAAACCAATCTTGTATGAATTTTGTTTTTTATTGAATACCACACACATACCTAATTTGAACTGTTGTTAAAAAAATCAGTTTATGATATCCAAGGTCAGATATTAACTACTGTTAAAATTCATAAATTCATTCAGAAATGTGGTACCTTAGCTTATATATAAGTATCGTCATTTAGGACCATTCTTTTATATTTTATAACATAGATTGCCCTTCATGTTATCTTGATTTGTTGAGTAGTTTCTCATATTGGTATTGATTGTTA